AGAGGGAGAGCAGTATGGAGAAGGTGGAAGACATGAGCCATGTGATCTCAGCATGATCTGCAAATGCTAAAGCCTGAGATGTTTCTGCTGATTGCTTGGGACCTGGAGTTAGTGATCATTATTGCAGACTGAGCATACCTGAGCAGATTTTTGTGAGAAACTGCAGTATCCTTTGCCCCAGAAAACAAGTTCTACTAAATTTCAAATTTCTGCTCCAGGTCACGAGCAGATCCTGCTACTGCTCAAGGCAAAATGGCCTTTTCAATGCAGGCTATATACTATGTCTATTTCCTGAACATTGAAATAGGTTGGTATATATTTTTCCAAAAATATTTGGCCTGAGGCAGACATTTTCCATGGAAATTGTAATCCCGAATGGGTAAAGTTAGGTAGAATTATAAGCAGCTGAAAATAGCATTTGTTAATGGAATGTGTCAGGCAATCTGAATAATAAGCAGTGACACCTCCCTGAGACAGACAAGGGTTCTGTGGTAATTCATAAGGCTGCTGAGCACCTTTGTTCATGCAAATGCACAAGATGTACACTGACACAGTCTGTCTGGGCTCTGCAGCATTAGAAACCACAAATGGAAACCAGTTCCATCTCAGACTTTCTGCCTCCAGTTATTCAGTGCTTCGAATCGTGATGGATAGCTAACCTCTGGCTGTATGTTGTGGAGTGTCTTTGCAGAAAGGCAAGACTAGTGTTTCCTTTGCACTGCTCATGTTCTGCCAGTCCCTGGATATTGCACCTATAGTTTGTCATCTGTTCACACATGGAAAACCACCAGTTTCTGTGCACTGTCAGTGCACTTCAGCAATTGTTTCTCACTAAATCCTATCCAGATTAATTCACTCCATGTATAGAATTCCTATAACAAAATGAGGAGCCCTTCAGAGGGCTGGTTAACATAGGAGGAAAATGTCCAAGGTCTTCTACCAGCTCTGCAGTCTGCCCAGTCCCTGCCCTCGCACCACATTTGGCAGCCTCCAGCTTCATCTCCATGCCCTTTCAGTGGGAAAGACATGGGGGGCAGGCTGTGAGCATACCCAGCTGAGCTGGGTTCACAGATGTGTCCTACACAAGGGATGGGAGAGGAGTTGTACCTCTGGTTGTTTCCAGAGGTGCAGAATGACCTTCAGAATGAGGTAAGGGTTCCAGAGGTCCAGAATGAGCGCCAGGTGCTGCTGGGGACACATGGGAGCATCCCTGCCTTGGAGGACACCTCTGTCATGCAGCCTTTGCATACAGAGGGTCACACTCTCCCCTTCTCATCTGGCTGGGAGGGCTCTGTGAGAACAAAGTGCAGCCCCACAGTCCCACAATGGGATTGTTTTTTTCAAAACAGGGACTTGCACAGCCAAGCCAAATCCTCTTCTTTCACTCTGTGCCAGAGCAGCATAGGTAAACCTGAAATCAGGAAACTAATATATCCTGTATTTCCAGTGTATCTGGATTACACAGAGGTTCAGGTCCTGCCTGGACCTTGCATGTCTCTCAGGTCTTTCTTTTACTTAGGTGCCATTTTTAAGCTTTCTGCACCTGAACTATACCCACTGATGTGTGTCATCACACCTGCGGTGTCAGGCTTGAAACAAAATAAGGAAAAGAGATGTTTGCAAATGCGCAGGAGCTATTAGTAAAAATGAAAGAAAGCTTGTCCCAGTTCTGTTTTTGGGGGTTGGGAGCCATCCTCTGGTGCTGAGAGCCTGGTTTTTTGGGTCCTCCAGAGTCCTGGGTGCTTGGGTAGCAGACCTTCTCTTAGTATGGAGACAGGTGGGGCAGCTGGGCACCTACTTTGCTCATAGTCTCATTTTCCCTCCTCCTAGGACTATTTTTTTCATAGTTCTATTCTCTCAGTACCTGAAAGATGTTCCTGTGCCGCTGCCATCTTACCAGAGAGGCAAGAAGTGCCACTTCTCTCCAGCCTACCTCTTCCAGATCTTCCCGGTACGCTGGGGTTCCCAGAGATCAAGTGATTGGGCAGAGAGACTGGCCTCACCACCACCCTACCCCAGGCCTCCTGGGCTCCTTCCACTTGTGTCCAGATGAGTTAGTGCTTCCCAGCTGAGCCTGCACAGCAGGGGATGGAGGTCCTGATCATGGGGAGGGAAGGAGGGAGGGCTACCAGGAGCCCTTGCTGTCTCTGCCTCCATTCTATGTGCAGGGGAAAGGGTCTGGCAGGGAGACACCTCGTCCTCCACGACGATGCTGGAGACGTGGCCATACCCTAATCAGACCCCACTGCTGCATGTGATGGTAGGTGCTGCTGGGGCTGTCCCTGAGCTGGCTGCTCTGCTACGTGCTGACAGTGACCAACGTCCTCCCTGTGGAGCGCACTGCCTACGGACACCTGGCCCGGACGGACACCCGTGGGGATGTTTTGTCACAGGCTCCCTGGTTTCGGCTGCCTTACCCAGGTACCATTGCCCTCCCTTCCCCATCCTGCCTGCTCCTGCTTGCATCTCCACTTACAACTAGCAGGGGGAGGTGA